AACAGCACAGAGTATTGGGAAGCTGATACCAAAGGGAATGAGGGGGAGGAACAACCTATCAGTAGCTTCAGAAGCCATTCAGGAACAGGTTATTTCCACTACGAAATGATTCTGAAAAAATAATTTGCTAAGAATGGGAGGGTGTCCCCTCTGGTTATGGGTACTTGCAGAATCACAAATGTATCATTTGGTGCTGTGTAGATCAATTCTGCTGAACATGATCAAATCCAGATAGTCGCATCTATAGGATCATGGTTAGAATCAGCAGTGATGCCTTGGAACAATCATCTCATCACCTCCTTTCACAGAGGAGGAAAAGAGGTGGCCCTGGGTCCATACTAGGCCCAGAAGCAGGACTGTGGCAAGGGCAAGCATTCAGGTTTCAGACATTGACTTTATAACCACTGCCAACCCAAACAATGTCAGGAGAGAGAACAACACAGATCAAAGCCTGTATTCGGGAATGGTAGAGTGGCCTATGGGAACTTGCTCCAGGCTAACCTACATGCGTATTCAAAGAGCTTGAGACCAGGGGAATTTTTAAAGGCACAGTGAACAGTGAATTACTTTGACTCAATTATCCTGGTTACAGGGATCAATACAGGGTGGCATCAGCCCAAGTACTGGATAGGCAGTTGCTGGGCAGATGTCCTTGGGAAGTGTGTGCTGTGTGAGGTTGCAGGGCCTTTGTGTAAAAGCCATGGCTCTGGCTGACTCTTTCATGACACACCTAGCTGTCAGGCACGTAGGAATGTCACACACATTTCCTGCCTTTATTTACTTTCATTAGGGCTTGACACATCAACTCTATTTTGATTCGGAGACTTTTCACACTATGGAAGGTTGGGGAGAAGATGGTGTGTATAGGTCACGGGACTGAGCACGCAAGGCCCTGGCTAATGCAGTGCCTGGAGTCACAGGTGCATGAGGTCTGCAGTCTGCACAGCCAGGCTCTGCCTGGGCTGCTTCTCTAGTGTCCCCTCTCCTCCACACCTGGAATCCTCCACCTGGCCACTGCTTCTGGGCTGGATTCCTAAGCAAGTTCAGAAAGGTCATTCGGACCCTTAGTTCTCCAAGACGCCTGTTTGTAATACATCAATGTTCAAGCCAATTGTTCCAGGAAAGTCAGCCTGCCTGGTGCATAGAAGTATCTCTAAGGCATCAACCAGTAAATTTGTCCTGCTTCTATCCCTTCTTGGGATTCCTGGTTGTTAATCACATTTTAAAATTTTAGCTTCCAAGACCCTGGGAAAGGAATGGTTCTTAAAATTTTGGGGGCCCTAGAACTTTCTGACAATCTGATGAAATCACTAAATAAAACACATTTCTTGTTCACTCTGTTTCTGAAATATCAGGGGAGCCTCAAGGCTGAAAGCCAGGGCTTCAGAATATTAGTTCCAAGGGGTCTCAAAACATACTATTCCTTTTCCTGTGGGGCAGCTTGAGTCCACCATGCCAACTTCTAGGAGAAGTTGTGGCCGTACTGCTGTCTGAACCCACAAACTCAGAAATCTCCAAGGGACCCTCCCGGGAAAAAGGGGCTGAGGATTAGGTGGGCAATCAGTGTGATGACAAATCTAGACCATGCCTAACTGTGGCTTGCCACACTAAGTTTCCTGAGCTTGCTCTTTAGTCTAAAATTGTGCCTCCAGTGTTTTCTACACTTTCTGCCACTGAGCTATTTGGATCTGCCCAGGACCATGTCAGCAGCTCCTCCCCACCCATGGACAGGGGGGTCCCCTGTCTGAGAATGCAACTCTGCCATCTCTGCCTTGATGCTCCACTTTGAACCCCTCCCTGGGCTGGGTATCTTCACCCCAGGCCTTGCATAGGTCACCCTAGCTTCCAGCTCTAGCTCAGGGCAAGTGAGAGGCTGAGGATGAACCCCTGTCCCTCCCAGGTGTGTCCTGGCCTTTCGCAGGTGCAGTTCCCTAGGGAGATAGAGCACACTCTTCTGTGGGCACGGTACAAATGCCATGCTCAGCAGAAGAAGAGGAAGAGGAGGAGGAGGAGGAGGAGAAGGAGGAGGAGGTGACCAAGGCCAGGAGGCAGGAGGCCATTTCTGTGTCCCCTACCCACCTCTCCTGGGTAGGCCAGGTGGTGGCCTCCCAGGGTGCTGGCTGCATCTGGCTTCCATGGGCCTGTGATCAGGGCTCTCCTGGGGCTCTGTTGACCCAACAACATCACCTGACACCAGCTGGCTGGGCCCTCTGGATGAGAGGAGGCCAGAAAAGGGTCCAGCCGCTCTGCCCTGGAGCTCATGCCCATGGCTCTGTCCTGAGAGGTCAGCTCTCCTCATTCACAACTGGAAGAAAGGGCTTGTGAACACCACTGTCACCTGCCTGCATGGTTGATGGCTATAGTCTCCATGAGGAAGAGAGGAAAGGAAAGCTGCAGTGGAAGACAGCATGCGTCTCCTGGTGGAAATGAGTTAGCTACTTCCTTTCGAAGATAAGCCAGAACCTCAAACCTAAAGTTTATCTCTGTCCCTCAAGGTAACAACCTTGGGAGTCGGGGGCCGTAATAAAAGAGACAGCATCCCACTGGAATTCTTTCTGGTGTTTTAGAGACAGATCAACTCAATCCAAGGGAACTGAAATCCAAGAGAATATAAGGGAATCTTGGAATTCCTAATGCTCCCAATGTAGACCTTGTTTCACAGTGAGGGAGACTCAGCCCTCCATGAGTGGGCTGTCAGGTTTGGAAAGTCCCCTTCCCTACATCAGCTCCCCGTCCATCTCTGATGACCCATGACCCCTTTCTACACAGTTTTCACCCAGTCCATACCATGCTAATCTTGGTTCTGAGGAAGGCTGGCCAGATATGGCCACTGTACACAGCACACGAAAAGGGGCAGACACTGGGGAGGAGGTGGGGCAGGCCCCCCATATCCATATGGGCCCAGTTAGGACTCAAGGCCTTTGCACTGTCTTCTCCCTGGGGCTGGTCTCACTGGGGTGTGAGCCCTGATTGTCACAGCACCTCCTGCACACCATGTGTGGTGTTCGGCACAGTCCCTGCCCAGGAGGTACCTGCAGTGCTTATGTGGGACACCTTTTCAAACAAAGTTACCAGTAGACATGGCCACAAGAGAACAGATGGACAAACTGGATTTTATGAAAATTAAAAACTTTAAACCACACCGTTAAGAAAATGAAAAGAGATGCTGGGCGTGGTGGCATATGCCTGTAATCGCAGCACTTGGGAGGCTGAGGCAGGAGGATCGCTGTGAGTTTGAGACCAGTATGGGCTACATAGTGAGTTCCAGGTCAGTCTCAACTACATAGTGAGAACCTATCTCAAAAAACAAAACAAAACAAAAAAACAAACAACCCAAAAAAAGAAAATGAAAAAAGAAGCTGGGTGTGAGATATACACCTGTCATCCCAGCACTGAGGAGGCTGAGGCAGGAGGATCACAGTGGGTTTGAGGGCCAGCCTGGGCTACATAGTGAGCACATAGTGGCTCAAAAAAAAAAAAAAAAATTAACAAAGAAAATGAAAAAAGAAATGGCATGGAAAAATATTTGCAAATCATATAAACAATGAAAGCCTTGTATTCATTTGTATCCATAAGGAACTATTAAAATTCAATCATAATAAAAAACAACAAAAAAGTTATTAGGCCACCAAAACTTAGATATGCCACCAAAGAAGATACACATATGATAAACATGTGGAAAGCATCATCCTTCATTAGAGAAATGTAACTTAAAGCCACAGTAAGATATTATATTATAGGTGTAAGATTAGCCAACATTTAAAAAAAAATCCAACAATGTTAAATGCTGGTGATAATCTGAACAATAAACCTAGTACATAATGCATAACGATACAGCTGCTTTAGAAGGTGGCTCAACAGTTTCTTATAGAAACAAACATCCAGGGGCCAGGGATTTAGCTCAGCGGTTCGGTGGCCTGCCTTGCAAGCACAAGGACCCAAGTTCAATCCCCGGTACCAAAAAAAAAAAAAAAAAAAAATTTTTTGAAAAAAAAAAAAAAAAAAAAAAAAAGAAAGAAAGAAAAAGAAAAAAAAAAAGAAACAAATATCCATTTACCATCCCACTTAGCAATGTCACTCACAGATGAAAGGAACGCGTGTTCACATGAGACCTGAATGCAAATATTCATAGTTACTTTTGTCATAGTTGCCCCAAACTGGAAACAACCTGGATCCTTTAATGGTAAGTTAACCAGTGACCTGCTGTGCCCACATAACAGAACCACCCTCTGGAATAAAAGGGGAAGAATCTTGATCAACACAGAGGCATGGGGAAAATCCAAAGCATGTTTGTTAAGAGAAGGACGCCAGATCTCAAGGGCTATGTACAGTAGACCCTCAAGTTATAACCAGCCTAACATAAGAACAACTTGGGTTAATTAGACTAATGGAAGATTCATCTGCTTCTTGTTGGGTATAGCATGTACCCAGGTAAACATCCAGTTCTCAGCTGTATTGACTACAACCAACTTGAGTTACAACCAGCCCTTGGAATCTGATCGAGTTTGGAAGACAAGGGTCCATTGTAATGCCCGCCCCCACCATTTCTATGACAATTCCAGAACAGTAAAAACAGAGGGGACAGAAAAAGAAGCCAGCGTTTGCTGTGGATAGAGGGAAGCTGACCACGGTGGGGACTGTAGGGTGACACTTACCCTGTGGCTCTGTGGTGGGGTTATACAACTGTGCCTTTGTCAGAACACAGCACTGGAAAGTGGATTTGTCTGTGTGTACTTCATCCCTCAATCGTCCTGTCTCACAGAAAGTGCTCTAATGTGGGTGGGGGCTGATCCTGATCTCTGCCATGGGGGCCCACCAGCAACCTGGAGTCATTTCTGATGAAGTCACCCCAGCACAGGGCTGGGTATTTAGCTCAGTGTTTCTGCCATCTGCTTTGCAAGTGCAAGGTTCCAAGTTTGAAGTTCCAAGTTCCAAGTTCCAAGTTCCAAGTTGTTTTGGTACCAAAACCAAAACAAGCAAACAAACCAAAAGCCCAACACACCCCAGCACAGCAGTAAGCTCATCTAAGTGCACTAGTGAGAAGAAAAGCTGGGATCCTTTCCTCTGGCCCCAAGGTCATCTCCTCCCAAGGTCATCTCCCCCAGGAGACAGAATGGAGCCACTACAGAGGTGGGGCAGGGTTCCTTGGCAATCTGAGGTCAGACAGCTGTCACTCAGGCCCCTTAGACCCCTCCTGACTGCTGGTGTCTGCTTCCTGCCCCAGTGACCCACTGAAAGGAGCAGGACAGGGGAGAGCTGAATATTTTGGCTGGGGGAGGAAGAGGGTCCCAGTGGGTGGGGGATGCAGGCCGGTCCTAACTTGGGGGCCTGGCTCTCAGGGCCTTGTCTATGATGCCTCTAGGTAGACACAGCTGTCACTCAGTGCTCCCAGCAGGGGTAGGGGCCTCTGAAACTGGTGATCAAATGTCTAATTTTCTTTTAAAAATTATTTTTAATGTGTTAAAAGGCACGTAGCACATGATTTGCCATTTTTAAGCACACAGCTCAAAGGCACTGAGCATGCTGGCAATCTTGGGCCCTTTACTTGTGCACCCCAAAACTCAGGTCCATGTAACAGTAATCCCCTCCCCTCCCCTCCCCCAGCCCCTGGTTCCCCTATTCTACTTTCTCTGTCTAGGACTCTAGGGAACTCATATGAATAGTACAGGTTTTTTTTTTTTTTTTAGTGCTATTTGTTTTTTTGAGATGTGGTCTTGCTATATAGTTTAGGCTGGTCTTGAACTTGCTATGTAGCCCAGGTTGGTCTCAAATACAGTGTGATCCTCCTGCCTCACCTTCCCAAGTGCTGGGATCACAGGCACTCACCACCATGCCTGGCTCTCGTATTTGTCTTTTTGGGACAATTCCTCTAATGTGTCCTCATGCACGCTCTATAGTGTGTGTGTAATATTCTGCTGTGCATATACACACAAAGCGATTTCTTGAAAACTCCCTCCTGGCTCGGCCTCTGCTTGGCTCTTATTTTGTCCCTCTCTGTCTATAGCTCTTCTTCTGTAACCACAATCATGGACCCAGCCCAAGGAATAAGTGACTTATATCCTGGTCCTAAGCACTCCCTGGGGTTGCTGGAGTCCCTCCTGAGCAAGGTATGCCATCTTAGCCTGGGCCAGTGTAGGTCCTTCCTTCTGGGACGTGGTTCTGTGAGGGATGGCAGAGCCCGGTCACAGGACCCAGGCCAGTCTGCAGGCCTGAGGCTGGGATTGAGCCCAGGGGACGTCAGCCACTCTTGCCCTCCACAGCCAAGTTTCTGATGTGCCACCTGAGAAGCTCTGCCAAGGGAAATGTGACATTTACATGATACCTAGTGAGGATGCCGTGGTAACATAACAGGAGGGGTGGGCTGTGTCCCTGTGCAAGGAGCCTGCAGCTTGGCTCAGTTGGATGACTGTGTTGTATAAATTAAAGCCCTGGTCACCAGTCCCTTTCCTCATTCAAGTGACTTGCAAGGGCAGCCTGCAGACAGGACCTGGTCCCCTGCAGCCAGGTGGGCACCACCTCCTCTGGAGGATCCGCTCTGGGCTCTCGTGGGTAGAGGAAGTAGACCCCACTGTATGTATAAGGATAGTAGCTCTCTGAGGTGCCTGCAGGCACAGGTCCCACGCTGCCTGCTGGAGTTGCCTAGGGGCTTAGCCTGGGTGGGAGCCTCCTCCACAGCCCGCCAGGGCTGCCAGTAGCTCGCAGGCCTTTGTTCTCCTCTCCCTGAGCTCCTCCTCCTCCTTTCTTCTCCTGTTTCCTTAACATGCAGAGCATGCTTCTGCCGAGGTGCAGCCTAGCTAGCGGCTTAGGAGGAAAGTGTGCACCCTTCCAGCCCTGCTCAGAGCCACTGGGCAGCAGCTTTCATAGAGGCCACTTCAGTAGTCATGACAGTGCCAGGCTCCCCAGCCAGACTGAGGATGGCGCAGCACCCTGGGACCTTAATGTGGATGTGGCGAAGTGGCTGCTGGGGTGGGGGTGGGGCCGGGTCAGGAGGGAAAGTGGGGGCTTTGAGGGAGTAAAGCCAGCCCTTCCCTGCAGACCCTGGCCTCACCCTTAATATCAGCACTCAGAGCCAAGACCTCCTTCCAGCCTGGAGGAGACCACCCGCCTCTGAAGGACAGTTTCGAGAAGCTCCCCTCAGCTCTACCTCCCACTCTCATATCAAACTTTCAAAAACACAGTACAGAGCTTTGGCAAAAGGGAAAGGGACCAAAAAAGAATGAAGATGTGTCAAGTATATACTACAAACACGGACTAAAAAGGCAAAACAAAATAACACTGATCCTGGAGTGGAAGGAGGTTAGAGGTGCTGGGGAGGGCATGGCTGGGCAAACCTCTTCTCTCCCTCCAAGTCAGGTAAGAACGGTCGGTCAACCCCAAGAGAAAAAGATTGAAGTGTTCAGGCCAGAGGGGAAGGGAAGTGGGGGACCAGCTGGTCTCAGGCTGCAGCAAGCTCAGGCAGATGGCCCTGCAGCTGTTCCCAGCAGAGGACAGCCAGACACTGGCACCTGTGGGAGGGCTCCCTGCTCTGCTCATCGGCCATGCACTCTGTGGAAGAGACAGAAACTGGATGGTCCTCAGCGGGTGTGCAGACCAAGGTGGCCGGGACTGTCTGGGTCAGCAGGACGGAGGTGAGTCAGGCACAGGAGTCAGGGGCTGCAGCCTGAGGTGGGGGTGGGGGACTGGGGCGTCGGGGGAGGGAGAGGTGCAGGGCCAGTTCCCAGGGGACCTGTGGGAACCAGCTGAGACCTGGGGAGCCTGAAGTGGTCAGAACAAGGTGGGTGCAGGGGAAGGAGAGGCCTTGGGAGAGAGCTTACAGATTCACAAAGGGACAGTGGAGGCGGCAAGCTGTGTGCAGACAGGAGTGTGGGTGACCTGGCCAAGGAACCCTGGCAGTGGCTGCCGCAGCCATCAGGGCAGGGTGAGAAGAGCCTGAATGAGTCAGGTAGGCGGCTGTGGCAGATAGGTGGGTGTGCTAGGGCGGGTGGGCGTGATGGAGTCGAAGCAGAGGGATGCACATTTGGGTGCCTTCCTCTCTCCTGACCCCTATGAAGAGAGCCCTGTTGGTCCTTGTCCCAAAGGTGCTGGCCGCCTTCCAAGGGCAACAGCAGCTGGGCACATTCCCCTAGGCAACGTCTGCTTCCTGCCTCAGTTCTGTCCAAGAGATTCCTTTGGTGCCCTCAATTGGGCGAGCTCCAGCCACCTAAGGGGAAAAATGCTCCATCCCTGACCTCTGGGGTGATTCTGAGGCACTTTTAGTAGTAGTGTGCTAAGTCCCTGTGTGGCTGGTGACCCTGTCAACAACAGGCTTTGCGTTGACTCTTCTTGCTCCCCGTGCCACTTCCCGTCCCTCACGGCGCTTTCTAGGATGGTTTCCCAACAAACTGTCTCAAGCCTGGCCTCCAGGTTCCCTCTGGGATGCCACACATACACCGTGGCAGGAGTACGTGAACCGCGGCACTGGCCCTTTGCAGTCCTGCCAGATGCTTGGGACCTGGCCCCTTGTCCTAGGAGAGGGCCCTTTTCTTCTTGCCTCTGTTGGCTGACAGTTATCCCCCCACCCTCCTCAGGGGCTTTGGCTCAGGGCAGCTCCATTGCAGGAAGCGAGTGACACTGGCTGGGGGACAGACACTGTTGCCAGGCCAAGGCTGGCTCTGAATATAAACACTAAATAATCCAAATTCTGTCCTGGTCTATTGCTGCGCTGGTCAAGAGGCAGCCCCCAGCCATGTGTGGCTATTGACATTTCAAATGAAAGAAAATTAAAAGTTTGGTTCTTCACTTGCTGGGCTGTACCGGGTCCCCCCAAAATGACACAATGAAGTACTCACCCCTGGCACCTGTGACCGGGGCCTTATTTAAAAATGGAGCCACTGCAGAGGTGATAGAGTTGGAATGTGGACACACTTGATTGCTCTAAGCCATGACTGGTGTCCCCCTAAGGGATAGAAGATGTTACCAAGCCAAGGGGAGAAGGCAGGAGTCTGGTGCTGCATCTATAAGAACACAGGCGCAAGGACCACCAAGAACAGCCACAGCAGCAGCACAGGCTCCTCCTCAGAGAGACCACGGAAGCACCTCACATCTTGGTCTCAGACTTTTGGCCTCCTCAACTGTGAGAGTTAGTCCTGAAGATCGAACCCAGGGCCAGCAGGGCCTTTTACAGAGTTACTTCCTCAGCCCTTTTTATTTTCTATTTTGAGATAGGGTCTCGTTAAGCTGCCCAGGTGGACCTTGAGCTTGCCATCCTCCTGCCTCAGCCTTCTCCCTGCTGGGATTATAGTGTGTGCCACCATGCCCAGCTAGTCCCTGATGTTTTAAGTCACCTAGTTTGTGGTGTTTTTAAAAATAATTTATTTTCTTTTATCCCATATCCCTCCATGTGATGTTTTGTTATAGCAACCCCAAGAAAGCATGCAGCTGCACAATCGCAGATACACTGGAGCTCCACAGCCACAGATAGCCAGGGGCGGTACAGTAGATAGCATAGATCCAGAGCACTTCCATTTGTCAAACGTGTGGCTGGACAGTATTGTTCTATCATATGCAAGAAGCAAGCAAAAGCTCTGTGCCATTGTGAGTGTTTACAGGATGGGCTGAGGCACAGGTCACACTGAACCTGAGAATCCGCTCTGCAGAACAAGCCCACTCCACTGAGTACAAGCAGAAGGTCCTGAGTTTGATCCCTGGTACAAAAAAAAAAAACAAAAAACCCAAAGAACAAGCCCACTCCAGCGCTCACCAGCTTGGGTCTCTGGTGCCTGTCTGACTTATCTTTTATTCATGCTCCTCTTCCCTCCTCATCTGCTGCCGAGCTGGCCAAACACTGCCATATCCACTGTGAGCACAGGCAAACTCTGAAGTTTAACATTTGCTTGTTAATCATTTATTGCTTGGGACGGAAGCATTCCTAGGCCTGACCATTCCAATTAAAAATACTCTTGAGAAGGTACCACATCAAATTATTGGAAAACAAAACCGTAGCATGAATTAATTATGAAAGCAAAGTTCTTGGGGACATGGCCTCTGAGGACAGCCAAAGGCTGATTGCAGGAGTGGGGTAATGGAATGAGGAAAGAACCAGGGCCCATAGGGCCACAGGTCCCTGATGCCAGTGGCTGTAGTTACATGCAGGGAACTACAGCAAGGAAAAGGGACACCAAGCTGCCAAAGGCATGGTCTCACCTTGGAGTGTCCTCACAACGCTCTCACTTGCCAGACAGAAATGCCTCATTTATCTTGGGTGCCATTGTGCATTCTTGGCGTATTTATCCATTAGTGGGTGCCCGAGGCAATGAAGAAAGAAAGGTATGTGGGCCTCCACAGTGGAGAATGCTTGAGGAGAGACCGCTGCAACCCTGAGCCAGAAAACCTGCTCTCAGAACTCCTCTGGCCACTTCTCAAAGCATTTGCAACTTGCTTCACAACCAGCAAATGAAGGGGTCCCCTGGGCCCCGATATCTTCACCTGAAGAGCAGTGATTCTGCTCTTAGCTGGGTCGGACAGAGACCCAATGGCTGCCCATACTGTATTAGCGATGAAATGAACCCTGAGAATTTCCCTCCCCCTGCAGCATCTCACTGCTCAGGTTTATAAAAATGTTTTTATCTGAGTGCAACACAGAAAAGTGTTCAAATCCCGATTGTACAGATGTCCAGAATTGTACCGAGAATGCACACGCACACAACGGGACATTGCTGCCCCTCCAGAGCCCCTTCAGGGTTCCTGAGAGGCACCAGTGCCTTCCTAGATAATCACCGTCATGATTCTACTATCACGTGTGTGTCCATTTCTGTATTTTACACACATGGAATCACACTGCTTGGCTTGCTCATAACTGAGATTCAGCCCTAGCATTGCAACTCAGTGCCGTAGACTATTAATTCATGTTGTCCTCGAACATGCTATTATGTGAATTTACAGTGATGGCTTTATCATTTCTACTACTGATGGCTACCTGGGTTGTTTCCACCTCGGGGCTCTTCTGAATAATGCTGGAACATTCTATACACGTGTTTGCCAAAACTGCTGATGGCTTTTATTTGACACAGTTATTTAGCACAAAAGGTAGTGTAGGGAGGGTGCAAAGGGCAGAAGCCTGAATGAGCATTTGGGGACCATCTATAATGTGCTGGACCTGCACAGCGAATATCAACCATATTCACCTTCCAGGTAGGTATATATGACTCCCTTCACCCTAGGATGCCAAGGCTGGGGCAAGAGAGGGGTCAAGGGCCAGGCAAGCACAGCACGAGGGAAGCTGGTAAGCTGAGAACTGGAGTTTCAGCCCAACAATAACAATCGCAAAGTTAGGGGACAGAGCCTGGCCCCCAAATGCCAATGCTAGATGGTCTTACCCCAGCAGCCTTGGCAACAGGAAACAAAGAGCCTTGGACTTAGTGAGTCTTTTACGGTGTGTCAGATCCCACCTCCTATGAGAGACACCCCCAAGAGCACCAGCTGAGTGCTCAACACATTTCTGATGATCATCAGGTTAATGAGGAATTCTCAGTATTCTGATCAGATGCGAATGCAATCAGGTTAAGGGTCCAGCTGTGAGGCACACAGGTGCTGGCATCTGCCACAGGCATGAGGATGGGCTTTCAGGTTATTGAGCGCCCTGGAAAGCCCTGTGGTATCAGGGTTGGAAGAGAAGTCAGGTTTCCTTTTCATTCCACTGATAAGGGAAAAGCCCATTTCCTTACTGGGTGACACCAAGGAAAGGGATTATGCTCCTCTTCCCTCATCTACTGCCGAGCAGGCCGGACACTGCCACAGCCGCTGCAAGCACAGGCAAACTTGACTCTGAAGATTAACATTTGCTAGTTTAACATTTAAGAATTGCTTATTGTGTTTGTTCCTTTTGTCAAACTGGTAGCAAAACACATTCGTGCGCACACACACACACACACACAAACACTGGAGGTCAATCCTGCCAGGAAAGTTGGATGGACAGTGCTCAGCACATCTGCCATCACACAAGACTGAGTGGGAACAGATGGAGAGAGGAAAGGCTGTCTGCCTGCCTCCGTCCTAACTCTGGGGCTGACAGCAGCCTGCTGGGTAAGAGGCTGCTGCGTGAGGAGTACTCGCACAAGGTGGCCTTTTCCTGTTCTCTGTGGGGTGGTGGCCCTGGCTGGGAGGGCCTGGGGAACTTGGACATGGCCCTACCCTCCCTACACCTGGAAGCCTTGCTCTTAGGAGCCCTATCAGGCCAGCTCCTCATTTGCTTTCTTTATTAGGAATCATTGGAAGGGACCAATCTTGTGTTGCCACCATACGAGCAGCATAAGGGAAACCAGACTTCAGAAAAAAAGAGGTGTGGGTGTCAAGGGTCCCAGGAAGAAAACCATTTCGTTTGTCTGGGATCTGCACTCAAAACTCTTCCTAAGATTTGGATTCATTTCAGGCTTCTGCTCATATGTGCAGGCTCTGAGGTCCCCATCCTGGAGCAAGAGCTGACTTTTCTCCTTCTAGCACACCCTTCAAGGAGTGTCAGGCCTTATGGAAGTCTCAGTGACAGGGCTGGCCTTGAAGTGGCCCTTCCAGCCAGCACCATCTTGACTCCAACCCCTGACTCTCAAGTCTGGTGCTAAGGGTAGCATTTTAAACCCAGAGCCTGACTCTCTGTGTCCTGCTTATTAGGTTCAAAGAGAAGCTTCAGGCTGGGGATTAAGCTCAGTGGTTCCGCCGCCTGCCTCAAAGAGAAGCTTCACATACTCAGAACTGTGCTGTGTACTGTGAAATAGTAGGGGACAGATGGCCCTTTTCTCTGTGCAAAAGGCCAGATGCCAGCTACCCACATACTTCAGTATGACTCAGCACACAGAGCCTCATCCAGGGGAGAACCAGGGACTTGCCCAAGGGGTGTCCGAGACAGTGTCAGATCTTCCATCAGCCCTGGACGTCTGGCTCAGAGTCCTGACTCCTCAACACACTCTCTCTCCTCCCTCACTGCCGCCTAGCATCAAAGGAAGAATTGAGCTTGCCTTGTAGGTGACAGTGACTAGTTCAAGGGAGGCTGCTGTCTTAGTCACTATCCTGTCACTGAAACACAACATCCAACACCTGAAACTGAAAGGAAGAGATGTTTATTTTGGCTCAGTTGCACAAGTTTCAGTCCTTGGTTGGCAGCTCCAAGGCAGAACAACATGGCAAAAGGGCCTAGGCAGAGGAGAGCTGCTCAAGTACGGCGGCCAGGAAGCAGAGAGAAGGGAGGAGCCAGGGAGGGAGATAAATGCTTCTTTGCCGTGGCCCCAGGAACCTCTAACCAGGCTCTACCTCCTCATTTAGCACCAATTAATCCACTGATGAGTACAGCTCCCCTATGATCCAATCACTTTCCAAAAGCCTCATCTCTGAATGCATGAGACCTATGGGAGGAACCCCAGATCTAAACTGTAATAGCTGCAGAGAAACCTGCTCTCTCGCATTCCACCCTGGGAGACAGGCTTCCACCCTGCCTTTTTCATTTTCCAGTAGCAAGGTCAGGAGACGGTTAGAGGTCTCCCCACTAAGGACATGACTCAAGTCCCAGGAAGACATCCAAGCTCTCCCACACCAAGGGTGGAGTGCAAGCCACAACCACCCAGACCAACTTCCTGCTTTGACACCTACTTGAAATGCAAATTATGAATGTTATAAAGCATCAAGTTGAACTCCTGGACTTTTCCAAGCAATGTGTTCAGAATGCGCTGCAAGCCTATCTGGGCATCTCTAGGGCTGGTAAGTGGAGGCAGTGGGTGCCTCTAGAACATGTGCTGGTACCTGCTCTTGCTTCCAAAGCCTGCCCATGAGGCCCCAGTGGCTCCAGGGCACCTTGGCCCAGTTGGAGCCACTTTGGCAGGGGGTGGAAGAAACAGGGTACTGGAGGGAAAATGGTTCTCAGGCTCAGGCTCAGCCCGGTATCAACCTCAAGGTCTGGCTGTGCCTGAGGTCATATAGAAGGGGCTTTGCCAGCTGCACGTCCTGGACACTCCAGCTGCACCATGCTCTGCATTCTGTTTCAGGGAGGTGCTCAGAGTCACCCAGGACATGGAGCACTTGGTGGAGGACAAGTCCACACACCATGTCACATCCCTAAAGCCCAGATCACTCTCCAATGTTTCCCAAGCAGGAGGAGCCCCCTCTGGGCTGGGCAGTAGTCGGCTGCATGAGAACTAATGGCAGTGCCCCC